AGGACCCGAATAGACATTTTTTCCAAAGAAGACAGCCAGATTGCCAAGAGACACATGAAAAATGCTAAACATCACCCAACATTATGCCAATCAAAACCACAATGAGATATCACCTCCACCAGTCAGAATGGTTAAAATCAAAAACACAAGTAGTAACAAGTGTTGGCGAGGATGTGGAGAAAAGGGAACCCTCTTACACTGTTGGTAGGAATGTAAGTTGGTACAGCCACTGTGGAAAACAGTATGGAGGTTCCTCAAAAATTAAAAATAGAATTACTGTATGATCCAGTAATTCCACTACTGGGTATTTAAAGAAATGAAAACACTGGGGCGCCTGGGTGGCTCAGTTGTTGAGCGTCTGCCTTTGGCTAAGGTCAGGATCAAGCCCCGCATCGGGTACCCTGCTCGGCGGGAAGCCTGCTTCTCCCTCTCCCACTCCCCCTACTTGTGTTCCCTCTCTCACTGTGTCTCTCTCTGTCAAATAAATAAAATCTTTAAAAAATAAAAAAATAAAAAGAAAGGAAAACACTAATTCAAAAAGATATTTGCACCCCTGTGTGTACTGCAGCATTATTTACAATAGCCATGATATGGAAGCAACCTAATTGTCCATTGATAGATGAATAGATAAAGAAGATGTGGTACACACACACACACACACACACACACACAAATACAAACACACACACACTCATGCATGCATATACACAATGGAATATTACTCGGCCATAAAAGAGAATGATATCTTGGGTGCCTGGGTGGCCCAGTCATTAAGTGTCTGCCTTTGGCTCAGGTCATGATCCCAGGGTCCTGGGATCGAGCCCTGCATCGGGCTCCCTGCTCCGCAGGAAGCCTGCTTCTCCCTCTCCCACTCCCCCTGCTTGTGTTCCCTCTCTCTCTGTGTCTCTCTCTGTCAAATAAATAAATAAAATCTTTAAAAAAAGAGAGAGAGAATGATATCTTGCTGTTTAGGACAAAATGAACGGACATAGAGGATATTATACTAAGTGAAATAAGTAAGAGAAAGATATATGATTTCACATATATATGGAATCTAAAAAACAGAACAAATGAATAAACAGACAGAAACTGACTCATAAATACAGAGAACAAACTGGTAGTTACCAGAGGGGCAGGGAATGGGTAAAATAGGTGAAACTGGATGAAGAAATATAAACTTCTGGGGTGCCTGGGTGGAGCAGTCGGTTAAGCGCCCAACTCTTGGTTTTGGCTCAAGTCACGATCTCAGGGTCTTGAGACTGAGCCCCATGTCGGACTCAGCACTCAGTGTGGAGTCTGCTTGAGATTCTCTCTCTCCCTCTCCCTCTGCCTCTCCCCCCTGCACTTACACTCTCTCTCAGTAAATAAATCTTTAAAAAATATATAAACTTCCAATTCTTAAAATAAATATGTCATGGAAATGAAAAATAAAGCATAGAAAATATAGTCAATAATATTCTAATAATGGTGTAGGGTGACAGATGGTGACTATACTTACCATGGTGAGCAATGCATAATGAATAGAATTGTCAAATCACTATGTTGGGCACCTGAAACTAATATAACACTGTATGTTCACTTCAATAATAAAGAAATTTTAAAAAGAACCCAGTAGCTCAATATCCCTAGAGGAGCTTAAAACAAAAGAGTAAGTCAACTGTTTAGACACCATCTAATCTGTCTGGAATCAGGAGAACTGTAGCTGGATTTCCTAGCCCTGGAAGTTTCTTCTTGATGCTAAGTCCCCAAAGCCATACTAATTCCTACTGTGCAAACAGAAGGAAAAAGTATCAGTCTAAAAGTAAACCTCCCATAATGCAAGAGGAAACACATGGCCCTTTTATCTTTCCCAAATGTGAGGAATACAGTAGATGGTCTGATCCTGGTTTCAGAGAACTTGAGAGCACTAAGAAAGGCTGAGCTTTTTAAAGCAAAAAGCTGTGCTCAGCTTTTCTGTCAATGTGACATCAGCCTCCTGTGCCCACATAGCCCCTAGCCTTCTTATTTCTTAAATGATGTCCTTCTATCTAATGACTGCAGTCCCAGACCCTGATGGTTCAGATAAACAATGTGCCAAGTCTTGGCAGCTGTATCTCTTCTTGGTGGGAAGGTCAGAAAGTCCTTTAAAAAATCTGAGAGACACAAAAATATTACTAACATGCAGGAATTTAGAAAGGACTGCAAATGCCTTCTGCAGCTTGCACCCAAGGATCTTCTATAGGATCATTGCTCATCTCGCTTCTTCTTCTACCAGCATATATTCAGTCTTCATTGCCTCCATGCCTCTGCGTATGCTGTTTGCGCTGTTCTTTTTCACCTCTGGAGGAAAACTCACTCATCCTGGAGAACATTTCAGCTTCTCAGTAAAATAGCTTCCAACAACTCTGGAAATTTAGCCACTTCCTCATCTGTGCTTGTATAAGCCTTTCTTCATATCTCTATTATAATACCTATCATATTATATTATAATTATGTGTTAAACTTGAGAGCAGAGATCATGTCTCAATCATCTAGTGCTTAACATAGCTCTTAGCTGATATAGATACTCAATGCATTTTTTGAACAAGTGAACCTTGTTTAAATTGTTTGCTTTATTTGTCTGAAAAACTAGTTTAACACTGTGGTTGTCTTTAATAAGACAGTTTATTCTTATTTACTTGCTGTAGGAGGAACACAGTAAAAGCACTAATAGCATTGCTCCTGGAAAGCTGTCAATTATGTCAAACTTACCCAAAGAAGTGGGAAAAATCTACACATTAAAATGTTAAACATGGCATGATAATAATGACGAAAATGTGTTTATAAAATCATTTGCATTTCCAATTCTCCTTCCTCTCAACAGTATATAACCAAAAAATGGTACACAAACATCACGTGTAGACTTTGCATCAGAAGAGGTCTTCAAAAAGACCAAATAATAGATTTTTTTTACAGATTTTTTTTCCTAGTTCAAACCTCTGCTATGTATGAATCTCTATACTGACAAATGCTCATGAAGCTTCTACTTGAACACTTGCAGTGTAGGAGAACTCACTACCTAAGAAGGTACCTGATTCCTTCTTTTCTTTGTGTGGAGATCAATGAAGGGCTTGAACTCATGACCCTAAGATCAAGAGTCAGATGCTTAACCAACTGAGCCCCCTAGGCACCCCTTGATTCCTTATTTTAATAGTTAAAATGTCCAAGTTCAACTCAAATCTGCCTTCTTGTAATCTTTAACCATTAAACTCAGTCCTTTCTTCCTTAAACCACAGTAAATATTCCTTCCTTGTGATAGTGCCATCAAAAATTAAAAGCAGCAGGACGCCTGGGTGGCTCAGTCAGTTAAACGGCTGCCTTCGGCTCAGGTCATGACCCCAGGGTCCTGGGATCGAGTCCCACATCGCGCTCCTTGCTCAGCGGGGAGCCTGCTTCTCCCTCTGCCTCTCCCCCTGCTTGTGCTCTGTCTCTCTCTGACAAATAAATAAAATCTTTAAAAAAAAAATTAAAAGCAGCTATTTACGGTCACCCCAAGTCTTTTTTTTTAAGATTTTATTTATTTATTCATGAAAGACAGAGAGAGAGAGAGAGAGAGACAGGCAGAGGGAGAAGGAGGCTCCCAAGGAGCAGGGAGCCCGATGCGGGACTCGATCCCAGGACCCTGGGATCATGACCTGAGCCAAAGGCAGATGCTTAACCATCTGAGCCACCCAGGTGCCCAGGTCACCCCAAGTCTTTTCCAGACTTTTCCAGTTTCATTCAACTGCTTCTCATATGTCAGGTCTTCCAACATTTTCAGCAATGTGGTTCATATCCTCTAGTCACGTTGTAGTTTGTCTGTAGCACTTCTGAGAGGGAGTCTGGACATACACTCTAGATGAGGTTTGCCCAGCGAAGAGGATTAATACATATCGCTCATTCTAGACTCTGTATAGGTACTGTCCAAACTTGAACTGGCTTGTACTTGGTGTAGAGTCAAACTTTGGCAATGGTTAGCAGGAAAGGGCATAACCTGCAACCTGGATAGGAGCAGACCTAAGAAAATGAATCCAGTGCTGGGACTTCAGTCGGGAGGCTGCAAAAGGCTAGGCCAATTAACGACTGGAATGCAAAGAAGAGCTACATTTCTAGGGAGACACTGAGATAGTAAGAATCAGAATGGCTCTGGAGTCATAAAGACTTTTGTTGAACTCCGTCTTCTCCACTTTCCAATCCTTAGTTTTCCTCATGTGAAAGTTGGGCTAATAACAGTATTTACTTTAAAGGATGGCGATGAAGACTTACTTCATGGGATAATACACATGAAGTCTGGCAGATAGTGCTTAGCAAGTGTTTTCCTTGCAAATTAAAATATATAAATGAAATTTAAGTTAAATGAATTTTAAAGTAATTTCACATTTAAAGCTTTAAAATTAATTACATACAAAGCATTTTCTCAAAATATTTTTAACACTTTAAGAAAAGCACTATATCTATTTTTTTTTTTGGAAAGATGACCAGGAATAATATGGATTGATTGAAAATGGCTTATAAAGTAAGAATAACATAATGATGGGGTGCCTGGGTGGCTCAGTTGGCTGAGCGGCTGCCTTCAGCTCAGGTCATGATCCCAGGGCCCTGGGATCGAGTCCCGCATTGGGCTACCTGCTTCTCCCTCTCCCTCTGCCTGCTGTTCTCCCTGCTTGTGCTCTCTCTCTCTCTCTCTGTCAAATAATAAATAAAATCTTAAAAAAAAGAATAACATAATGTGATTCTTTATAATCCTCGCAATAATTATACCAATAGTGTGGCTCTAACCAATACACTTATTTTCAGATTTTACTTTCGTACAATAACTTTACCATTAACCTTTGAAATCAGTCTTTCTTATATTATAAATTCATTAATCCAGTCAGAATTATAATTCGATATTTGTTAGAAATCTTTGCATAAACTCTTTTTCCTGGCCCACGTTGTTTTCCTTGTAATATCCAATTATTTAAAATGTGAGAGGGATGGGCACCGCCCAATGAGGGTGTGTGTGTGACTTTGAACCTATAGTTACAATCCAGAGAACTGGGAGTGACATTATCTGTGACAATAAAAAAGCTTCTCTTGGTGAGTGGAATACCTGTATATAAAAGTCACACTTGAGGGTCTACGGTTCATCGGCCTTCACAAGTTGATTCAACTTCGAGAAAGCATCAGCTGCCAATACACCTGAAAGATCTTGTCACAAGACATAGTGTGGTGAGTAATCTTTAGTTTCTCTTTTAAATTTTACTTGAGATTTTTTTTCATAATTGAGCAATTATATAATGTGTACTATTTTCTATAAAAATGCTGTCAAGGTAAATTATTAAGGGACAGTTTGAATTCTGTTTAATATATAATGCCACAGTACAAAATAAATTTATGCTGCTAAAATGCTCTTAATCATAACTTTTTTGATTCAGGTCTTTCAAGATGCCTTGCTTTTTCTAAATTCATCTGAAATTAAACAAAAATAATTAAAATTTGGCATGATATGCTCTGAAATTTTGAAATAGAACAGCCTAGTAAAGAATGAGTAATTCTGATTTAAATAACCAATACAAATATTAAGTTGTGTTGAAATTCGTTTGTCCTTCAGGATATCTTTATCTAGACTGTTTGTTTTATAACTCATAGAAAGCTCAAATCTATGTATTATAGTTGGAAAAATGCAGTTTTACTGCTGGATAATCCCTTTACATAAAGCCTTTCCAAATTTGCTATTTTGAAAACTGTACGTGAATTTTAAGCGTGTTTTACAACTGCTCTTTTGCTTTTTCATGGCATTCTTATACGAAGCTCTTCTCTCTATTAAGAACAAGGAAGCCAAGGAGAGATGTCTTAAGTTACTAGGTGAACGTGACAAAGCCAGGACTAGATAGCAATGTTCCTATCCTCTAGCTATAGTGCCTCTTCCTGGCATAAACCAACACTAAAGAATCTTCATTTGTAACTCCATCAATAGCTTTATATTACAGAGTGAAAATAAACATAGTAGATTATAATGTTTCTAATGTGACTTCTAAATGACGCTATTTCCCTTTAAAATATGAGTACACAGACCTCCTATGTATGTTAAAATAGAGAACGTCAAGCATTAAGAAAAAGCACTTCTGTAATAATAGGCTTTGCAATTACTGAAATGCAGATTAAGGTAAGACTATTCTATTTTGAGATGAAAGCCTTACGAGCAAAAGAGGAAAGTGCTAAAAATTATACTCAAACAAGACTGTTAATAAAATTAGTTGAGTAAGACAGACAAGCATTCCATATGGAGTCAGGGCTCTATATCTGTAAACAAGTAATTAAGTAGATGACTTTAAAATACTTTCACACATTCTTTTTAATGATAGGGGTGTGCATTAATTCATTAAAAATCTCTAAATCAGACCCCATTAAGTTTGTATTTATGGTTATTATTGCAGTGCCTGAAATGAAGTTGACTTATGAAAAAAGAAATTTGCTAAGTAAATAAACAGTATTAGTAATTTACGTGGTTACAAGGGCACCTGGGTGGCTCAGTAGGTTAAGCATCTGCCTTTGGCTCAGGTCATGATCCCAGGGTCCTGGGATCAAGCCCCGCATCAGGCTCTTTGCTCAGCGGGGAGCCTACTTCTCCCTCTCCCTCTGCTGTTCCCCCTACTTGTACACTCTTTGTCAAATAAATAAATAAAACCTTTAAAGAGAAAGAGAGCCATCTTCAAGCAAATTATAAGCACTTAATCATAACCAACATAAAATGTGGGAGGAAATTCTAAAAAGGAAGCCTTTCCATTCTTCATGTGGCTTAAAATTCATGTATTAAAACTTGCCCAAAATTCTCAAAAAGATACTTAAGAAAGCAAACTAATCTATCTGATTCCTAAATCAAATTATGTGTGTATAAAATATATACAAATATATACTAATGTATCTGTAAAATAAAGTCTTTCATGAAAACCAATTCAATTAGTTGTTGTAACACTCTCTGCACAGTTGTATGGTTGTAATGATACCTACTATAAATTTAATTGTACATTTTGGCATATTAAAAATATTTTTAAATACTTTCTTTTTGCTTTTCCTTTTAGTGAAGATGCTGTCTGCAAAAGACATGGTTAAAGTAATGATTGTCATGTTTGCAATTTGTTTTCTTGCAAAATCAGATGGGAAACCTGTTAAGTAAGTATTGTAACCTCTTCTGCATGGTGAGAGAATGGGAATTGGCTTTCTGAGGTTGGCTTTATGATCTGGAAGAGGAGAGCTAATGGAGTGATCCTCCCTCTTTCTGTTCCCTCCAGGAAGAGATCTGTGAGTGAGATACAGTTTATGCATAATCTGGGCAAACACCTGAGCTCCATGGAGAGGGTGGAATGGCTTCGGAAGAAGCTGCAGGATGTGCACAACTTTGTTGCCCTTGGAGCTCCGATAGTGCACAGAGATGGTGGGTCCCAGAGGCCCCGGAAGAAGGAAGACAATGTCCTGGTTGAGAACCATCAGAAAAGTCTCGGAGAAGCTGACAAAGCTGATGTGGATGTATTAACTAAAGCTAAATCCCAGTGATGACAGATATATCAGAGCACTGCTATAAACAGCACTGGGCAACAATATTACATGCTGCTAACATTTTCAAGCTCTTAAGATTAATAAACACCAAAATTTACATCTAATCCATTGCTAGCCCTGATAGCTGACATTTTAATTAATTATTTTGATTCTACTTTAATTCATTTAAGAGCTCTTTTAAGTATTCTATTTCTATTGTTTATTCTTTTTAAACTATGTTTTTGCATAATTTATAAAAGAATAAAATTGCCCTTTTAACCTCTCTCCCATCTTATGATGCAAAATAAAAAATTTAATGATCATGATTTTAAATAAATGAAGTTGAGTATTTCTCACTTGTTATAAGAATGCTTTCTGGGGTTATGAGTAATACCAAAATGTTTAAATTGATCTTGAGTCGAAGAATAATGCAAGATGATTTTTTAATCATGTGTCTCGCATTCCCATATTTTGACATCCTTTTAATACTACCAAAGTACTAGGTCCTCAAATCCCCACTAGCTAGATACTATTGTCTTCATTTCAGGAAAGGAAATGCTCAGCAAGGAAAGGCAGAAAGTGGTCCAAAACTTGAAAAAGCATTTGTCTACACAGTAGTCTGAATCCCAAATTTCAAAGAACAGAATTTTTGTATTTATTAGAATAGAATTTCATTCACTTGTCATTTGACAAATATCGATTTACTGTCCTTTATTTGTCATGTACTGTATTAGACACTGGACATATACTGGTAAGCAAAATGGACACTGTTCCTATCTTAATGGGGCCTACAATTTAGTAGGAAAGACAGACATTAATTCATTCTTAGTTTTGATAAACACTATGAAAGAAAAGTACAAGATACTCCAGAAGTGTATAACACAGAGCCTTGTTCTATTTAGATCAATGCTATCCAAAAGAACTTTCTGTGATGATGGGAATGTTCTAGATTCTGTGCTGTCCAATACAGTGTCTACATGTGCAATTAAAATGTGCCTTGTGTGGGGCCTTGGCTGTCTTAGTAAAGCACGTGACTCTTGATCTCAGGGTTATGAGTTTGAGCCCCACATTGGGTGGACAGATTACTAATAAAAATAAATACACTTTAAAAAATGTTTTTAAAAAAATAAAGTATGCCTTGTGTCACCGAGGACTAAGACCCCATCCTGGCCTCAAAGAGTTCACGTTCGAATGAGGAAGACAGAGATGTCAGCAAGTACTTACAATATTACATGTGAAATGCACAACACAGTGATACACAGAGAAGGGAACAGATCTTCCCGATGTAGGGAATAACTGAGATGGGACTGAAATGGCAAGTAAATTTTGCAAAATGTAGAGGAATATTAACAAATGTCAGGCATCCTGGTGGAATCCATCAGGCTTTGGTTGAAACGCAGAGAACAAAATCTACTTCAGTTAGTTTAAATGGAAAGGGATTCATTACACAATCATTGAGAATGCTGATGAAAATAGACTCTTTTTTAAACTTGGAGGAAAAACTCACAAAGTCACCAAGAGAGTTGTTCTCTTCTAATATCAGCAGTTGACTGATATTATCCTGAGACTGCCCTGATCAGGAGGCAGCTGCTTCCTACTGCTATTCCAGAAACAAACTGTACCTGCTATGACCAACCCCAGAGGAAACAGATGGCAAGCACTTTTCTTCTTGACATCTAGTGTGCCTTGTTGCTGGAATCTGCTAGCACTAGCACAACAAAATCAGCCCCCTCTGCCCCCAACAACAGTACTTGCCAGCAGAAAGGGAGAAGTAGAAGAATCACCTTACTTAGGTCTGCCCAACCTCAAAGGAGTGCATACGATTGACCGAACCTAAATTTCTTCTAGAACCTTAGCTGCAGAGGTGTCTGGGGAATGTAGTTTTCAACTTTCCTGCCTACCGTCTAATACAAGAATAAGCACTAGAAGGTGGTGTGGACGGTGCCTCTAGCTCCTTGGTAGTGTCAAGCCTCACTGATACTCTTTTTTTTTTTTTTAAGTGCCTTGTGTGGGGCCCTCAGCCAGGGCCCCACACAAGGCACTCCATGCTGGGCGTGGAGCCCAATGTGGGGCTCAAACTCAAAACCCTGAGATCAAGACCTGAGCTGAGACCAAGAGTCAGTCGCTTAACTAACTGAGCAACCCAGGTGCCCTCTCAGTGAGTATTCTTGAATATGTCCCCTTAAGGAACTGTGTGAGAATTTCCTTGGGATATTTACCCAAGGGCAGAATCCTGATACATAAACAAGCTTCTCAAGACTGCCTATAAATTACATGTACAGTTTCTAGTCACACTAGAAGAATGAGGCATTTCTGCCTATTTCCACCTACAATTGGAAGTATATGCATTTATAAAAAGTTTTGTCCCATTGATGGTAAGTGGTAACTTATTGTTTTTTGGTTTTTTAAAAATTTTATTGTTATGTTAATCACCATACATTACATCATTAGTTTTTGATGTAGTGTTCCATGATTCATTGTTTGTGCGTAACACCCAGTGCTCCATGTAGAATGTGCCATCTCCAATACCACCAACAGGCTAACCCATCCTCCCAACCCCCTCCCCTCTAGAACCCTCAGTTTGTTTTTCAGAATCCATCATCTCTCATGGTTCGTCTCCCCCTCCGATTTCCCCCCCTTCATTCTTCCCCTCCTGCTATCGTCTACTTTTTTTTTTCCTTAACATATATTGCATTATTTGTTTCAGAAGTACAGATCTGTGATTCAACAGTCTTGCACAAATCACAGCGCTCACCATAGCACATACCCTCCCCAATGTCTATCACCCAGCCACCCCATCCCTCCCACCTACCCCACTCCAGCAACCCTCAGTTTGTTTCCTGAGATTAAGAATTCCTCATATCAGCGATGTCATATGATACATGTCTTTCTCTGATTGACTTATTTCACTCAGCATAACACCCTCCAATTCCATCCACGTCATTGCAAATGGCAAGGTCTCATTCCTTTTGATGGCTGCATAATATTCCATTGTATATATATACCACATCTTCTTTATCCATTCATCTGTCCATGAACATCTTGGCTCTTTCCACAGTTTGGCTATTGTGGACGTTGCTGCTATAAACATTGGGGTGCACGTACTCCCTTCGGATCCCTACATTTGTAGTTAACTTATTGTTTTAATTTGCCTATCTCTGATTACTAGTGAGACTGAACTTCTCTCTACATGTTGGCCCCTTGGGCCTCCCTGTCTGTGTACTTTTTTTTATATCCTTTGCCAATTTTTTTAAAGATTTTATTCATTTATTTGACAGAGAGAGACACAGTGAGAGAGGGAACACAAGCAGGAGGAGTGGGAGAGGGAGAAGCAGGCCCCCAGTGGAGCAGGGAGCCCGATGTGGGGCTCAATCCCAGGTCCCTGGGATCATGACCAGAGCCAAAGGCAGACGCCTAACAACTGAGCCACACAGGCACCCTCCTTTGCCAATTTTTAATTCGTTTTCTGGCCCTGTTAATTTTGAGTTCTTTGCATATTCTAATACAAATTCCTTGTTGGTTTTCAATGTCATAAATATTTCCTCCCAGTGTATCATGTATTTACTAACTCTATGCTTAATTTTGATGGACACAAATATACCAATTTTTCACTTACTGTTTGTGTTTTGGAGTCTTATTGAAGAAGTCTTTCCCCAATCCTAGGTCACAAAGTTATCTCTTACATCCGCATTAGAGGTTTACCTTTCACTTTTAAGTATTTATTGTTCTGGAGTCTAACTTTGTGTATGACAAAATGTTATGTTGCAACTTTATTATTATGGACAGTGTTCCAAATGCCATCTATCAAACAATTTTTATTTCCCCATAGCTTTGTAGATAATTTTAAAAATCATATCTTAAGTTCCCATGTAAATATGGGTTTGTTTGTTTGTTTGTTTATTACTCTTAGGGAGTGAAAAATTGCTTTACTATGCTCTTTGAATCAACTTTCAGTCCCTGAAAGGTCAGTCTCAGATGGGGGCCCACAAGTCACTCTTCCCTGACTTTGTCTTATCCCTTAACTTAATCCTTGGATATTGTGTCCCTCTGAATGTCTCTAGCCCTATCATTCTCCTCCCCATGTGGCCCATACACAGGAAATCTTCTTTCCCAAGTCTTCAGGGATTGGGCCTGTGAGTATCCAACACAGACTATACAGAACTCTACAGAAACAAGTTCTTGGTTCCGTTTTAAAGTAGCAGTTCATGGAGGTGGCCCCTCCAAGGACATGCTGGAGAAAGAAACAGCCTGCCCTTAAACTGGGCCTGTTGGGTCTAGTTCAACTTCATCCCAAGCAAAGCCCAGTATTTAGAATAGTCAGGGTTTTTTTTAAAAGATTTTATTTATTTATTTGACAGAGAGAGAGAGAGAGAGAGAGCACAAGCAGGGGAAGCCCGATGTGGGACTGGATCCCAGGACCCCAGGATCATGACCTAAACCGAAGGCAGTTGCTTAACCGACTGAGCCACCCAGGCGCCCGAATAGTCAGGTTTTAAAATCAATGATTAATTTTTGCAATTCTTATCCTAAAGCTTCCTTTTCAGTAAAACAAATTGAATAGTTTTCTCAACCATATAAACTCCTGCTACTAACAGAAGAGCTCAGGAGTGTATGATCTATCAGTTTCATTCTACATGGTCTTCTTTTTAGACAGGGATCATGTCTCCTTGAGAGGACTGTGGCCAAATTGCAACATCTGTAGCTTCCTTGGCATAGATCTTCATGGGTTGTACATTCTCACAGTCTCTTAGGATCCCAGGTCAGAAAAGTGGATGAAGAAGTTCTGAGGAAGATATATTTATGAAGGCACGTACATGGAAACTGTAAGTGGCACTGAAAAATGAAATGGCTTTCAGGTTACAATCCAGGAAATTCCCCACCTCTGCAAGTTTGGGTTCATGTGGAGAACAGTCTCAGTGTCTGTGTTGGCAGTGGCTTCATGTCCCTGCTTGAGGCTCACAACCCAGAACCCCAGATCTGAGGATACCAGGAAAGACCCTTCATAATAAGCAGATGCCCTGCAAACACCCACAGCCCATTCCAGTGTTTCTCCAACTTCTACCTCCCAGTAGTGGCAGCCAGAGGTGAAGCAGGAGGACCCCAGGACACAAACAGCAGAGATGAATGTTTTGGCACTCTGGTGGTCTCATCTGGATCTACCTACCTCCCATATTCGGCAGGTCTTTAAGAGAATATGAGGAATCACTGGCTGTGGCTAGATCCAGAATCATATTCACAGAGAATCTCAGCATCCAGCACCACCTGCTTATCAGAGGCATCATCACTTTGATTTCAGCCACCAGTTTCCCCAGGGCCATGTTGGTCTGGATTCTCCGGATCCAAGAGATGTCAGGAC